TTTTATAAAATGCCAGTCAAAAATCCATCGTTAAAACGTCTGTATTGAATATAAAGTAGGAAAAAAAAATGTTTACATTTTTATCGTATCCGCTTTCAGTACTGGAAGCTTTAATACTGTGATCGGGAATCGAACCGGTACTCAAACCTAAATCTCTAACAGGACGGCAATCTAAACGGATATGGAAAAGATTTAATAGAGAGGTTGCCTCCGACGTTTTCATCGCGTAAACGTGTACGTCGGACGTTCAGCGCGGTATTCCTGTAAGCCTAGAAGTTTGACAATGGCGTTTGGAACGTCGAGCGTGATTCCAAACGCCATTGTCAAACTTCTAGGCTTACAGTAAGGCGGCGCTGAACGTCCGACGTACACGTTTACGCGACGAAAACGTCGGCGGCAACCTCTCTATTAGTACAATGAAATAATTAACACACCTAAATTTGGTTCGAAGCCATCTTTGCATTTGCAGAAATATGCTCCGGATGTGTTATTACAGTAAGTAGAAGCGCTATCACATGCGCTACTTTCCGAACATTCGTCGATATCTGAAACACAATTAATTAATTAAGTTTCTTTATATAAATAAAGTATTAATACGTAGGGAAAAAAAAAATTTAAACTCAACATAACTCTATGTTTCCTCTTGTATAACAAAGAGAAAAAAATAAAAGAAAGATGCGATAGGAAACGGGTGACAAATCTCGTAACTGTTTAAATTAACAGTTTGACAAATTTGGGTGGAGACAACAATCACGAATGAGTGAACACTTCGTCTAGGAAGACAGTAGTATATAATTATATTCTATTTTCGGTATTAACCATACAAAATTGATAAACGTATCTCGTTTATATATATATAATTTTCCTTTATCGTATATCTACACGCTTTATAAATTATGTAATTGATTTTTCGTCCTATATATTTTTATCATTATCATTGCTTTACTTGTTACGACGATGATACAGATAAGAAGAGAAAAAATAAGACAATAAAATGAATTTCATATATAATTATGCCATAAAATTTAACATTTTATTTAGCATAAGAAAATATTATCTAAAAAAAATAAATAGGATAATTAATGAATATATTAAACACGTACAATCCACAAAATACCTGCAGGTATTTTATTTATAGAAGAATATTATAAAAAAAAGTATGGGCCTATACTGTAACCTATTGTGTATAATCTAAAAATAAGGTCGAGGATAACGTAATAAAATCAAATCACAGGCTTTTAACAACTTGTTAATATTTAAAATTGTGTAAAATATTATCTAAAACATTAAAATAATAATACAGTAGATCCTCCCTATAACACTGTTGATAATTCCGTGTTATATGAATTCCATGTTGTACGAGTCACTTATATTTTAGAAATACGTGTGCCGGGCTGTGAACGACTCACGTATTTGTAAAATCTAAGTGACTCGTACAACATGGAATTCATATAACACGGAATTATCAACAGTGTTATAGGGAGAGTCTACTGTAATAATTCAATTCTTATTGATCCTTATTAAGAAACTTTATAATAAATAATTGCATCATTTAAAATCATCAGATAATGTTTATGACTAAAAAATAATAAATCTAATTATATATTAACAATGCAATTCATTATAAAATGTAGGTCTAAATATATATCAAGATGATTTGCATAATAAATCAAAGCTACTTATTAAATAACAATCAAAAGATTAAATATCTATAATTGTTAACTGAATTAATTAATTAATTAAGGTAAAAATACTTAATTATTATCAAAAAGAATTTTTTTACAACATAAAGATGAAGTTTTAAAGATAAAAATATATACTATAAACTTGACAGGTAAAAGGTGATGATTCACTATTCAATTACTTTTGAACCAAGAATAGATTTAATATATTTAAATAATAGAATTTTCAAAGGAATGAAGGTTTAATTCTGAAGGTAAAAGTCAACAGGTTAAATATGAGATAATCCAGAAAGCCAATATTCGCTTCTTCCTTCTTTGGGATCGTATACGCATTGCCGAAAATTNCGAATTTTATTGGGAGTGGCTGGGATCTTTCGGGACTTTTTGCATCTCTGACTGGATTTGAGAGACTCTCTCAAATCCAGTCAGAGATGCAAAAAGTCCCGAAAGATCCCAGCCACTCCCAATAAAATTCGAAACCTCCGACGACTCCCTCCTCTCGAGTCTGTTTAGTTACTTAATTTGGAAGTTATTAATTTGCAAATTTAACTTTTATCCGCTTTTTACTTGAAAAAAATCATCCTTTTTTGATAGTCTTGTAAGAAAATTTGGATTAGTTAATATAATTTTTGCAAGAATTTTTTAAAAAATAATACTCTTCGAAACAAATTAGCTTTAGTTTTTTTCTTTTTGGCATTTCTTTTTAGGAAGAGGAAAAATAATTTAAAATTTTTAATGTAGATTTTAGAAGTTAAAATTTCAAGAGTTAAGTTTAGTGTGATTTTATTTTTAAATTTAGTTCTAAAGTTTAGATTTATGCTGCTGTTTCTGTATTTTCAAAGAGGACGTTTAAATTAATATCTAAACCATTTAAAGTTTTTGGTCTTGGATTTAGAACGTTTAAGGAGATTAGCAGCAATTTAGAAGCTGTTTTTTTTTAATGATTTAAAAAGCTTAGAACTTGAAGAGTTTCCTTAGCAAAATAGCTAAAACCGTTAGGAAATTTTTGTAAAATTCGAAGCTGTTATCGGAATTTTTAGGACACGTTTTAAATTTATTACAAGTTTCGTTAGCAGAATTTTTCAGCTAAAAGATCAAGAATAATTAATAGAAGAGTTTTGCTCATCTGACGATTATTATTTTATATTTCTTTTTCAGTAAAACATGTGCGACGACGAAGTTGCTGCTCTTGTAGTTGACAATGGCTCCGGCATGTGCAAAGCCGGTTTCGCCGGGGATGACGCTCCCCGTGCTGTATTCCCATCCATCGTCGGTCGCCCACGTCACCAGGTAATAAAAATTCCAGAACGACAAAGACAGAGAAATCGTCAGATAATCGATCGATACTAATTCCGAGCTTAACCTCTATTCTAGGGTGTCATGGTAGGTATGGGTCAGAAGGACAGCTATGTAGGTGATGAGGCCCAGAGCAAGAGAGGTATTCTCTCTTTGAAATATCCCATCGAACACGGCATCGTCACCAACTGGGACGATATGGAGAAGATCTGGCATCACACCTTCTACAACGAACTCCGTGTTGCCCCAGAAGAACACCCAGTTCTGCTTACTGAAGCCCCCTTGAACCCCAAGGCTAACAGGGAAAAGATGACACAGGTGGCTGTCTCTCTCTAAATACCTTTAAGACCCGTATCGATGGGAAAGACGCTTATTGACCGAAATTCTATCTTTTGACAGATCATGTTTGAGACCTTCAACACCCCCGCTATGTACGTAGCCATCCAAGCCGTACTGTCCCTCTACGCTTCCGGTCGTACCACCGGTATCGTATTGGACTCTGGTGATGGTGTATCCCACACCGTCCCCATCTATGAAGGTTACGCCCTCCCCCACGCCATCCTCCGATTGGACTTGGCCGGTCGTGACCTTACTGACTACTTGATGAAAATCTTGACCGAACGTGGTTATTCTTTCACCACCACGGGTAAGGAGACTTATCTAAACGATAGAATTAAGATGGGATAACTTTTATCTCCTCTTAATTCCAGACTAAATCAAGCAAATTCTCTGTCAAGCTAGAATAAGATTAATTTTTCGACAAAATCTATCGAAATTTCGTTAGGGCGTCACTCTGTAGGGTGTTACTCTGCCCCGTTTTCAGGCTGTCCGTCTGCTTGATTTAGACGTCATTCTGTCCGAATTTCTGTCCGAATTTTTGGCAAAATTTAAGATGTAAAAATTTGCTCCTTACAGCTGAACGAGAAATCGTTCGTGACATCAAGGAAAAGTTATGCTACGTCGCCCTGGACTTCGAGCAGGAAATGGCCACCGCCGCTTCCTCCTCCTCATTGGAAAAGTCCTACGAATTACCTGATGGTCAAGTCATCACCATCGGTAACGAGAGGTTCCGTTGCCCAGAAGCCTTGTTCCAACCATCCTTCGTGGGTATGGAATCTTGCGGTATCCATGAGACCACCTTCAACTCCATCATGAAGTGCGATATCGATATCCGTAAGGATCTGTACGCCAACACCGTCTTGTCTGGTGGTACCACCATGTACCCAGGTATCGCTGATCGTATGCAGAAGGAAATCACAGCCCTTGCACCCAGCACCATGAAAATCAAGATCATCGCTCCCCCTGAGAGAAAATACTCCGTATGGATCGGTGGCTCCATCTTGGCTTCCCTGTCCACCTTCCAACAGATGTGGATCTCCAAGCAGGAGTATGACGAATCCGGTCCCAGCATCGTCCACCGCAAATGCTTCTAAGCGATCGAGTCCAACAACACTCACTGCCGTGAAGACAGGTGATTCAGTCAGCCGCAACAACAGATGCTGTCACACAACATATGTGTACTTTCTCCCTGTATTGTTAAGCTCCGTGTTTTGTGTGGAAATGCTGGACTATTTCCTCGACCGAGGCTTGGCTTTTTCTGTAGATAAATTCATATTGTGAAAATTCAAGCCCCGGATGGGCAATAATCGGGTATTTCTCTCATCAGTATATGTGATTCGTTACTAAAAAGAAGAAAAAAAACTGTTTTAAAACTTGCTGCTCTTTTTTCTGTTTATTTCTTTTTTTTTCTCGTCTCACTACGGGCTGAAACAGATGACACACTTTTCCTCCTTTTTTTTTGCCACATACATTATCCTGTACAAACCTCTAATAAAGCAGGGGAATCAGAAAATTCAGATAAGTCTCTGTTACGTTATTGATGATCGCGAAATCGGATTACATTTCTTTCATATTTTAACCCATCTTCCTCTTACTAATTTCATATTAATATTATATTTCCGCGCTTAGGAAAAAGTAAAAATTAATCTTATAAAATATATTAAATCGTAATCTTATACTTACACACACAGATAATCTTGGAATAAATCGATACATTTGGCGTCATTTAAACACGGTTGAGAATCGCATCCTCCCAAATCCATTTCGCACCTTTCACCTGTCCAACCGGGTGGGCAAAGACAATTAAATTTATCGATACCATCCGTACAAATAGCCTTGTTTTGACAAGGATTCGAGGCGCATTCGTTAATATTTTGCTATAAACAATTTTTTTTTACCTTTAAATTAAATTGTTAAAAATATAACACGTCAACAAGTAGATGGCGAAACTTTATACATACCTCGCAACGTTCGCCAGTAAATCCTGGATTGCACTGACACACAAAATGATTATCCATATCAATGCACTTATCTGTGCCAGAGGGATTACAGGGGCTACTTACACATTCGTCTACTTCAGCTTCACACTGTAATCCTACATAACCAGGACGACAGGTGCAAGTAAACCCATCTGCTAGATCGTTACAAGTTCCTCCATTCTGACAAGGAGTTGATTCGCAGGAATCGATAGGATGCTGACATTTTGATCCTGTATAACCTGCATCGCATAAACAAGTAAATCCATTTATCGAATCGAGACACTGGCCGCCATTTTGACAGGGATTACTAGCGCAATCGTCTATATTAGTCTCACATCCCGGACCTGTCCAGCCCAAATGACAAACGCAATAATGCTGGAACAATTTATCTACACATATTCCATTCAGACAGGGACGAACACTGCATAAATCTATTTTTTCTTCGCATCTTTTACCTCTGAAACCCGATGGACATTGGCATCGGAAATCGTTTAAGAGATCGGTACAATTGGCTCCCAATAAACACGGTTGTTCGGCACAATCATCTAAAAAATATCATTATTTTGTAACTAATAATCCAACAAGTCCGGTTATTTTACAAGTTCTTACCTATATCAACTTCGCACGAGCGTCCAGTCCACCCTGGAGCGCAGTTACATTTATAACGTCCTTGTAATAAAGGTATGCACATTCCTCCATTGCTACACGGATTTTCACCGGAAGTACAGGGATTTACGGTTACATCACACTCTTCACCTTCATAGCCTTCACGACACAGACATTTTACATTGCCTATACCAGGAGTATCCTGACACATGGCCCTTTCCGGACACGTATTATTGAGGCAATCACTTTGCTCTATCTGACATTGAAGGCCACTAAAACCTATAATTAATTTATTTATTTATTTTCATCATGGACTTGCATGTAATATAAATTTTTTATATGTTGAAACAACTATATTTACCAGGTGGACAGTTGCACTCATAAGATTGTGGCTTATCGATGCATGTACCACCATTGAAACAAGGCCGACTGGCACAATCGTCTATGTCGGTCTCACACTTGTTACCTGTAAACCCTGCAGGACAATAGCATGTCGGTCTATGATTTATAGCATGGCATAAGCCTCCGTGCATACAAGTGTGGGTGCTGCAAGGCACTATTCATAAAAGAAAACGGATACAAAGGTTAATAAATAAAAAAAATTGTGTCGCACAAATCTAGTACGTGGACATTCTTACCCGCTACACAAGTATCCGACGTTACAGCTCCGGGCAATACAGTCATTTGATTGTTCGGACATTGTGTACAACTGGTTTGACCCGCATTTGACTGATAAAAGTTTAGAGGACAAGGAGTGCAGGGTTCTAGACCTGTATCTGAATATGTACCAGGAAGGCATAGAGCTGTAAGGAACAACAAAATTTGTAATTTATTGGCAACAATAACTCAGACTAATTAGAAATCACTTTTATAATTTTTTCTTGCCTTTGCAATCAGAACTACTAGAGGATCCAGGTCTGTAAGTATAAGTATCGGATGGACATCTTTGACATTCTTTGAATCCATCTTTGGGTGGTGCTTCGGTAAACGTATTGAAGGGGCATTGTAAACAAGGTACCAATCCCGTAGAGGAATATGTGCCATAGCCACATATAGCTGTTGATTAATTACAGAATATTATAGATTCATCGATTAAAATGTGTATAAAAGTAAAACAGAACTTACGTATGCAATCAGCAAGACTCTTGCTTCCTTCTTCCTTGGTATATGTGCCCATAGGGCATGTTTTGCATCTTCCTTGACGGTTCAAATCCTGATAATATCCACGGGGACAATTGATACATTTCTGATCGGGAGAAGGAAACGTTCCAGGAGGACAATGAACTGTATAAAAATTTTAAAAATTATATTTTCAACTTGCTCACTGCTTATCTTATAATATAATAAAAAGAATGTTTTTAATTGTTCAATTTAATAAACTTACGGCATTTAGGTATATCTGATTGATTGGAAGTCGTCAACACTTCTCCAAGTTGACAAGTAAAACCCCGATTGACAATGGATCTAATGGCCTGAATTCCTGGACATTTTCCACCCACATTCTGAGAGGTGACATTTAAAATAGGCTCGATGACAGCGGATGTGCTCGGAAGACTGAGATCAAACACCAGACCGAGTGTGGAACCGCATAATTCGTAAAGGGTGGATTGCTTGACCATAGGCTCGAGTCTTAACGTATAGTTGAGGAATAACTATTTAAAAAAAAAAAGACATTTACAATGGGATTTTATATATTATTATCTTTCTCATCAATTAATTAGACATACTTCATTTTCGGCTATAGCTGCTACGGTTGTATTTTGGAAAAAGACGTCTATTTTTACATTAATGGCCGAACAACGATCGGAAAGAGCTTGATTCAAAGAGTTTTGATATCTTTTAACGAAAACTTCGTATTCTTCCAAACAGGACGAAGAAAGAGCACCACCAGCGCGATATTGAATGTCAGCTACTACATCATAAGTAGCAAAATTTGTATCTGAAAATAATCAAAACCGATATTAAAAAATGAAACAATTCTTTATGAAATTCGAATGCCTCTAAAATTAAATTACCATCAGGAACACACTCTTGTACGATCGAACTTGGACTCCAAGGCATTCCAAGCAGACATTCGTATTTTTTTACAGGTTCTCCATCTGTAAACCTATAGCCTGTATTGCAGGTGACTGAACAGATGAAACCAGGGGCCTCGTCCTTTTCTACACAATTAACTGTTCCTTGAACCGGAGGTTTTAGAGACCAGGAAACACAGTGCGAAGGTTGAACTGATACTTGGAAATGGCAAATTGCTTTATTTCCGGCTTGGTCGGTGGCTGATACAGTAATGTTACGGTATCCTCCGACAGGAATTACGGCGACTGTTGGGGAAATTTCGACAGAGACATCACCCGATTTATCGGAGACGTTAACGTGAGAGAGCATTTCGTTAAAATTTACGGAATAACTGGTTTGTTCCTCGGATAATTCGATAACGAGAGAACGTGGACACGTTAAAGAAGGAGGAAGATCATCTGAAATTGTAAAATTTTGTCTTAAATATTTACAGAAAAACAGAAATTTTCAACGAAATCAAAATAACTAACCAGGTATAGTGATATTGACTGTACAAACTGCAACGTTTCCATCCGAATCGTAAGCTAAATACTGAATAGTTGTGTCTTCAAATACCATTAAAGGAGGAATAAAACCTGGAGGACGAATCTCGAATCTGGCTATTTTTCCTGAATTATCTACAGCTTGAGGAATGGTGAAGTTCACAAATTGAAAACCCTCTTTTGTCTTAACCACAGTGATGGGATAAGTAGGACAATTAAGGAACTGAGGAGGTTCTTGATCTACAAACAAAGACTCTTTTATTATTAAATTCCATCATAATTTCTTAAATACAGTATGTAAATCAACTTACCGACACAGACAGGATATCCAGCATCATATCCCAATAATGCTTCTTCTCCAGTATCTTCACATCCCATCAATTCAAACTTCATGCAAGGATTTCTGTTGTAAGCAACAATTCCCAAGATGAAGAACCTAGCTCTGACGCTAAGAGGAAGATTCAGAACCGATAATTCACCGAAATTTCCTGGATCTCTCGTTGTTAAATTAAATGTCTATAACAAATTAATAGGATGAATAGTTTGCTTCTTCATAATTCGAACGAAAACCTGAAATTAGACTTACCGGAAAATAAACTACAAAGTTTTCTTCTTGGTCTACTTTGTAGAAGAGTCGTAACTCTGTAGGTCGACCAACAACATCGTTAGTGATGACTCCTTTAACAAGAATTGATGTAATTCGATAGACGGAACCAAGATCTACAGTTGCATACAAGAAGGCCAAACCTGGATCATTTTCTGCACACCAACCTGTTGCACTGTTCAAACGGATATTCTGTAAAATTCATCAAAAATTAGTGATAATTGAAAAATCATCATATAAAAAATTTCGTTTTTACCTTCACTTCATAATTACTCCTTTGAGAATTTGCCACAATGGAAGTATCTGGTATAATTCCGGAAGATATTCCCAAAGGTTTAATTACTTTGCATACAGCATCTAAAATAAATTAAATAAATATATATGTATATATGTAATTAAAGATTAAATAATTAAATTTCATATTAATTTTTACTAACTTTTAACGCAGGTAATGGGATCGATATTATACGGAACGAATCCCGCCCTGTCACAAGTAAATGTCACTTTAGAGCCTTGTTCATAGCTTGTTGCAACTTGAAGCCCATCCGGAGGTCTTCCTGGATCTTCGCAAACTGGACCTTTTAAATTTAAGCAAAGTAAAAGTTAAAAAAAAAAATGTAATTTATAAAATAAAATATAACATTAAACCGAATTAAACTTTTATTCATAACATAATAACCACAGTAGTGTAACAATGGGTCCCAGAAAACACGACCCCCTTATCTATGTAAATAAATAAATGAAAAAAATCAAATAAGTACAGGAAAAAGATATAAATATGACAAACACATTTATACACATGTATATACAGCAGCTAAGAGTTCTAGTGGCTACAACCAAAGTACAGTAGTTCTTTATAATAGAGGAAAGTTGCGGCCGAAGTTTTCGTCTCTCAAACCTGAACGCCGAACGTCGAGCGCCGCTATCTTGTAAGCTGAGCTCAACGTTCGACGTTCACGTTTGAGAGATGAAAACTTCGGTCGCAATCTCACTAATGTCTTATTATTAAATTTAAAGTAAATTATATACTTTACGAACCTTCACATCTTAAGTCTCCAAAATCCCAAGTTCCATCCTCTTCACAACGAACAATGTTATCCCCAAATTTCGATTTTCCAGCAACTGTAAAAGTGTCTTCGCAACTAAAGAAGAAACTAGACTTGTATCGTGTATCTACATACGGTCCATACGAAGCTCCAGCGGTTTCTCTTGGAATACCACAATCGATTCCTATTAAATTTTTAATTTTTTTTTTAAATATAAAAAAGATAATTTAAGAAAACTTAATTAAATTGAAATGATTTTTACTAGGACATGATGGAGATAATCCAGAAAGCCAATATTCGCTTCTTCCTTCTTTGGGATCGTATACGCATTGCCGAAAATTAGCAGTAGCTGTCATTCTTAAAGGTCTACCCATTTCGTTACAGGTAAGAGATATATTGTGCTGAAAGGGAATATAATTTTCGTCATCAACACCATATACTCTTAGACCTTGAGTATGGTCATCTCCTAGCGATGGACAACTGGCAACTATAATAGAAATAAGATTAAAGAAACCGAATAAAAAAAATAGCATCTTGTTACCAAAGATATTTACATTTGCAAGTCGGTTCGGTCCCATTCCAGACACCAGTACTGGTGCACAGAAGTGTAGAGCTTCCCTCCATGACATAACCAAAATTGCATTGAAAGTGTACCACATCACCAAAATGAAATGACGATTTAGTAGAGAGGAGAAGACCATTTTCGGGACTATTCAAGTCTGGGCATAATTTCTCTATAACAAAAAAACGTATAAATCAATCGACGAATTAACATTTTAAAACTGTATATTATTGAAATGTACTCGTACCGACACAAGTTTTATTCAGTAAATAAATGTCTCCATCTTTTAAACCAGTTTCTCCGTACGGAATTTCGAATCCGGAAGTCCCGTTTTCAGTGTAAAGCTCGAAACCATTATTGCATAGACAATTATAGCTACCGGGGTTATTGATACAGCGGTGATCGCATCCTCCATTTTTATCCAAGCATTCGTTAATATCTAGAAGAATAATGATAAATATAGATCTACAAAACAATAACTTTTAATGTAAAAGAAAAGAAAAAAACTTTACCGAGACAATCTTGTCTAGAACATCCCATTAATTCCACTTTTAAACACGGAGCCGTTTGGTAATCTACTAGATAAAAGCGGATAAATCTAGCTTCTAAGTGGAAAGGTAAATTAACTGTAGAAACTCCAGATAAACCATGCGGTAACAGACGAAACTCTACAGACTACAATAACATACTTTTAACAATTTGTACATTCGTAATAAAAGTTTTATGTGTTAAAAACACTCACTCTCTTCATGGGATCGCTATAATCACGAAATACATCTGCCATATCGTTTGAGTATTGAATTCTCATTTTTGTTGGAAATGCCAATGAACCATCCGATCTGGAAACGGGTTGGGTTCGAAAACCTTTCAACACGGTAGGTGCTCGTAAATCGAACTGTATCCAATTCTCTCCGGAATGATGAATCTTTCCGCACCATCCGTTTTCACTGTTAAGACGAACCTCCTATAATATATTTTATAAAATGCCAGTCAAAAATCCATCGTTAAAACGTCTGTATTGAATATAAAGTAGGAAAAAAAAATGTTTACATTTTTATCGTATCCGCTTTCAGTACTGGAAGCTTTAATACTGTGATCGGGAATCGAACCGGTACTCAAACCTAAATCTCTAACAGGACGGCAATCTAAACGGATATGGAAAAGATTTAATAGAGAGGTTGCCTCCGACGTTTTCATCGCGTAAACGTGTACGTCGGACGTTCAGCGCNTATCCAGTAAAACATTTATTATTATTTATTTCCTGAAAATTTGTTCTTGAGTAACAGACATGGACTGGTAAATAAATTAACTTAACCTTAATTTTAATTTAAAAAAGGAGCTTGCTTTCACCATAAATGAATAACAAAATTAGTGATTTATAATTAAAACTTTAGTGTGAAAATAGCAAGGGGGGAAAAAACACTTATTGCATGTTCTTCCTCATTACTTGACATTTATATATGATTAATTTTATATTTTCTTATATTAAATACTTAACTGATTGATGTTGGAGGCTAGAAATAGTAATTATCCTATTGTATTAAGTGAGTGTAGAACAGGTTCTCACCCATTGTTAACATTTTTTTAACCTTTAAGAATTTACTAATTAATTTTGATAAATTAGTCTAAAGATAGAAAATAAAATTTATTAACTTATAATAAAATATATTTATTACTGTATTAAAATAAAATTTAATAAAATATCTAAGATAATTGTTTTATGATACAAAGTACACACACACAGCACTCAATTAAAAGATTCCAAACATTATTTTATGTAATTGAGAATACTTTTATGTGATATTTAACCTTGACTTTTACCTTCAGAATTAAACCTTCATTCCTTTGAAAATTCTATTATTTAAATATATTAAATCTATTCTTGGTTCAAAAGTAATTGAATAGTGAATCATCACCTTTTACCTGTCAAGTTTATAGTATATATTTTTATCTTTAAAACTTCATCTTTATGTTGTAAAAAAATTCTTTTTGATAATAATTAAGTATTTTTACCTTAATTAATTAATTAATTCAGTTAACAATTATAGATATTTAATCTTTTGATTGTTATTTAATAAGTAGCTTTGATTTATTATGCAAATCATCTTGATATATATTTAGACCTACATTTTATAATGAATTGCATTGTTAATATATAATTAGATTTATTATTTTTTAGTCATAAACATTATCTGATGATTTTAAATGATGCAATTATTTATTATAAAGTTTCTTAATAAGGATCAATAAGAATTGAATTATTACAGTAGACTCTCCCTATAACACTGTTGATAATTCCGTGTTATATGAATTCCATGTTGTACGAGTCACTTAGATTTTAGAAATACGTGTGCCGGGCTGTGAACGACTCACGTATTTGTAAAATCTAAGTGACTCGTACAACATGGAATTCATATAACACGGAATTATCAACAGTGTTATAGGGAGAGTCTACTGTAATAATTCAATTCTTATTGATCCTTATTAAGAAACTTTATAATAAATAATTGCATCATTTAAAATCATCAGATAATGTTTATGACTAAAAAATAATAAATCTAATTATATATTAACAATGCAATTCATTATAAAATGTAGGTCTAAATATATATCAAGATGATTTGCATAATAAATCAAAGCTACTTATTAAATAACAATCAAAAGATTAAATATCTATAATTGTTAACTGAATTAATTAATTAAGGTAAAAATACTTAATTATTATCAAAAAGAATTTTTTTACAACATAAAGATGAAGTTTTAAAGATAAAAATATATACTATAAACTTGACAGGTAAAAGGTGATGATTCACTATTCAATTACTTTTGAACCAAGAATAGATTTAATATATTTAAATAATAGAATTTTCAAAGGAATGAAGGTTTAATTCTGAAGGTAAAAGTCAACAGGTTAAATATCACATAAAAGTATTCTCAATTACATAAAATAATGTTTGGAATCTTTTAATTGAGTGCTGTGTGTGTGTACTTTGTATCATAAAACAATTATCTTAGATATTTTATTAAATTTTATTTTAATACAGTAATAAATATATTTTATTATAAGTTAATAAATTTTATTTTCTATCTTTAGACTAATTTATCAAAATTAATTAGTAAATTCTTAAAGGTTAAAAAAATGTTAACAATGGGTGAGAACCTGTTCTACACTCACTTAATACAATAGGATAATTACTATTTCTAGCCTCCAACATCAATCAGTTAAGTATTTAATATAAGAAAATATAAAATTAATCATATATAAATGTCAAGTAATGAGGAAGAACATGCAATAAGTGTTTTTTCCCCCCTTGCTATTTTCACACTAAAGTTTTAATTATAAATCACTAATTTTGTTATTCATTTATGGTGAAAGCAAGCTCCTTTTTTAAATTAAAATTAAGGTTAAGTTAATTTATTTACCAGTCCATGTCTGTTACTCAAGAACAAATTTTCAGGAAATAAATAATAATAAATGTTTTACTGGATATTAATATAGTTTTTTTGGTATTGAGGGCTCGTATATGTTTTTATATATTCTACAATATATACTTTAAAGGTTAAGTAAATAATAAATTCCTTGTACTGTACTGTATAAGAATATACAGAACTAGTATTAATATTTTTAGTTTTAAAACAACTATTAGAATATTGTGATAAAGTATGGAAAAACTTGATACAGTCATATTACTTAATTGATTTATAGTAGTTTAGGTGTGTTTAAATGGATTTTATAATACTTAATTTAAGATATATTTGGTTCCTTCAGATGAAACATACTGTAGTGGCAACATTGACTATATTGAGGGAGAATAGGGCACTACTGTACTGTACAGTACAAATGGAGGAGGCTGAAGAGGACTATTTTTTGATTCTTCCAGCCTGTCTGTACTGTCTGTAAATTCTTACATGTACAGTACAATAAATCACGCACTTACATTGGATGCGTGAGTCTATGCTACATCTAATTTCTTCAGGAAGTTGCTTGTAAAATGTTCTTACAAGAAACTTTGGAAAAACAAAACTTATTTCTTGTTTTGATATAAAAAGTTGGTTTTTCTTATAAACTATCACTTAAGTGACTTTTTAAATAAAGTTAATATAATAAAGATAGTATAATAAACAGAGATATTACCTTGACAAGTAGGGATATTTTCGAAGATTTGATTCTGACCACAAGTAATAACAGAACTACCCCGGAGTTCGAATCCTCTGTGGCATTGTACTCTAGCCTGATCCTCGAAAAAGTAAGTTCTTTGTTTGTCCATCACGAAACCATTCTCGATTTCAGGGATCACAGGACATTGCACACCTAAAAATATATTCAGTTTAAATCGTCTCAACATTGACATTTCGAGGAAACTCTTAATTTCAATACTCACGTTCGCATTTGGGTGGAGGACCCGACCACTGACCGTCGCTGTTACAAACTATTACGGGAATTCCGATTCTGGAATACCCTGGATGACACTGGAACCGGATAACCGTGCCGTACGATCGACCACCACCATTCAAAACATTTAACTGAGCGTGAGGAGAATCGGGAAGAGTAGGACAGGAAGATGCCAAACACACTGGTAATCTTTCCCAACGTCCATCTTCTCCGCATCTGATAGTCTCGGTAGGTAAACCACTAGGGAAAGCGAATCCTGCATAACACTGATAAGTAGCCACACCCTTATAGGTTACATTAGAAGCTGCCACTGCAAACCCATTGTCAATCTGAGGAACGGGACCGCAATAACGAACTGAAAAGACAGAAAAACTTCTCTTGAATTCCTCTTCATTAATTTGAATACTTCTTACACGATGCAAATATACCTTGGCATCTGGGAATTTTGGTAACATTCCATTCTCCTCCGTCCATGCAAGTAGAAACTATTCGAACTTGGCCATTACTAAATTCCTGTCCCAGAGGACAAACATAAGTGACTATCGAACCAAAAGTGGTCTCTCTACTAGAAGCTACGGCTCCACTTCCCACTCTCAACGACGGACAATCTGTAAGAAGACTGTGTTTAAAAGGCACTAGAAATATATAATTTAATACCGACAATAATATTTACCGGCGCTGAACTTTGCCCTCCATCCTACTGCCGAATTCAGAGGAGAACTAGTGAATTTTAATATCATGTGTCCGCTACTGGCCGTCAGAGTAATAGAGGGAGGATTGGATCCACTAAATCCCTGTCCCGAATGTAATCTCACGCCGGAAATAGAACTCGAACCATCGTAAACCTTAGAAAATTATATATATTAAATTCTCATATAAAATTTTCAAAGAAAATTTAAAGAGATTTACCTCGACAAAATCATCTTCTGAGATATGAAACTGATCGAACTTCAAAGAAAGTGGACCACCTCCGGGTCTTCCTATTCTGTATACACATTCTTGACTGGACGGATAATTACGGATGCCATAAGCTGGAGAATTAATCTCCCCGAATGGAGCAATGTAGTTTATTTCGCAACCTTGAAACACAAACAAGATTAAAAATCTGAACAAACTTAAGTATAAAAACACGATTTAATACCACTCACCTGCACGATAACGAATGGAAAAACCTTTCCTACTATCCCCCAGACTAGTGTGTAGATAAAAGTACAATTTATCTCCAGTAGACATGATGTATCTTGGGTTTTTATCAGAGGTACCACTTAATCTAACTAAGAGAGGATCGGAAGGAGAAGTTCCATCTCGTATCAGAATATAATCCTGATCTTGTTTTAAATCTATATCAACCACCTAAAATGTATAGAAATTGTATAAATCTTAAATATTACAGCTTTATTTTCTTATATTATAGAAGGTAAGGGAAATAGGGCATTACCGGATCTGAAGCAAAATGGGACACCACGACTCGCTTTTCTACATTATGTTAAGTATTATTGTCACCCTAAAGTATTTACTTTTGTTAACGGGACCTACATTTACTATAATTTAGCGTGTATTTATATATATATATATGATTATTTAAGAATACAGACTATTATTGTAGTTGATTAACTAATCATATAGGCATAAAATTGTACGAATAACACATAATATACTGTTGCAAATCCTTCCTTTATTATAGGTTTTAACCTCGAGTTATTTTTTAAAATAAAGAACTGGTAGAAGGACTAAAGAAAACAATTAAAGACATTCATGAGTGAGAAAATATCTTCACCACGACATCGGGTAATGAACTTGTTATGAACCATTCAACATAGATCTAGGACTACAAGATGAGAAAATTTGTGGCATTCATCAGCTTCAAATTGGCTAAAATCTTTACCAAGGACGAACGTAAAAATATTAAAAGATAATCTAAAAAAAGTAGCTTTGAAAGTAGAGATAAACAGGAAATGAATGGCATAAGCTTCAGGCAATAGTAAGAGAGATGAAGCGAGGTTTTTCTAAAACTTTTACATACAATGCCGATACAATCTTTTCCATTGTTTCCTTTTTTAATTCTTTTGATGACTCTTGCATAGCCTGAAACCATATTTCCTTAAATATTTTGCATAGATTAAATGCAATTTTAATTATTACAAGCAAAGGGAGAAGACCTTCATTGTTTATCACGGGTGAGTTTATTTTTGAAATGTTAGTAAATGGCAAAGACTTTGTTCCATTTCTTCTTCACTGCCATAGAATGTGGGACATTTAGCCTATCTTTTCTTTTATTTCATTATATTACGTAATAATATATTCCTTTCTCACGAAAATCTAACATAATAAAGTTTATTACCGTAAATAAAAACCGTAAGACTTACTTCTAAGGTTACAATTTTACTCTGAGGTGCTCTAATAATATAAAGACACTCCAATCCACCGGGATAAGATTGAGGATAATGAGGTGAAGTGAAAATTTCAGCCTTTTGTGATGCATAAATTACTCCTCCGCATTCCATAGGTTCTAAGATAGAATAGAATAAATATTATTAAAGATTTTATATGATGTTTTTTCCATTGACGAAAAATGTTTTACCTGTTTTCCAACTGGCACGAAATCCTTTTCTTTCGACCGAAGCATCCGATCGAAATTTCACGATCATTAAATTAGAAGCGGTGATAAAAGATCTCGAAGTAACATTTTGCATACCCGAAAGCGTGGCTAAATTCACGCTCGATTCTTCGGTTTTTCCACCCACCAAAATTTGAACTGTATCGAAGTTGGCTTCAGTTTCGAAATCTGAAAACTTTATACAAAAAATTTCATTGAATTTACAATAAAATTGAAGAAATTTCCAATTTAGAAATAAATATTTTACTTGTAAAATGATTCCTGTTCCGATAGGTCCTTCCAAAGTCCATTTACAATCGGAATTGGACTCGTATTTATCAGGATAGTTGGTAGATTGAATGGAATCGCCCGAACTTTGCAAGTGATAATGGCACGATCCTAGACAGAGAGAGAAAAAAGTAATTTCTTAAGAAACCAGAACATTTTGACAATTTAAATTTGTTTTTTTTTCTATTAAAAATACAGTAGATATTTACTGGGACAATGAGTTTCGTCAGATTTATCACCGCAATCGTCCTGACCATCGCATTTCCACCTGGTATTAACGCATTTTCCGTTGCTACAATATAACGAATCTAGAAAGCAAAACCAATTTAATTTAATTGAATATTATTACTGTTAACGTTATATCGAAACTCACTCTTAGGACATAGCCGAACTTGGCACATGAATGGATGAAGAGATTCGCAAGAGGCCAATTCCCATACTTGATTCTGTTGTTTTTGAAGAGTTCTGACGCATTTGCCATTCTGAGGTGCGGGTTGATCGAAATTCCAAAATCCTATAAACTTTGAAAGGAAATTTCCTCCACTGGTCTCCAAAGCGTTAGTCGAAAGATCGTCTACAGCGCGGAGACCTAAAGAAACATAATAGAAACATAAGAAATCAAAAGTTAAATAATCATTCTTTCATGAAGGAAATAAGAATTTGTATACTAATGGAGTTAAATCCTTTCAATTTAAGTGATTCTATTGAAGATTTCACTTTGACGATACAAGATTAACTCGGTGGAACGAATCGAGTTAATTACATGAATCATGTTTCTTCGTTTCCTCACATGAAAAACTCGATTACCGTTCTCAATCTCGATTGTACAGAGTTAACAATACTATCATTAGATAATATCCTCAAAATGAATTCCATTTGAGTAAAATTAAACCTTATTTAAATAAACTATAAGTTGATTCCTTTGTTGAATTAGTTCTATCAAACACCATTAATCAAATGGTATTAATCCCATTTCAATGGAATAAATGTAGCCACGACCGTAGATTATAATTGAACTAAGATCTTTTGTTTAATATGAAGTTTTTTTATTTATTTCTTCAATAAAAATTACCTATCCAATAGGAATTGGTTCCCGAACTGAGTAACTTTTCGGATGCCAAAGAACTGGTAAAATTATTCTGCCAAAAATCTTGTATGGTCACTAACTCGCTACCGTACCTGAAAATAGAATAGAAGAATTTAAAAACTCAAAAATATGTATTGTACAGTACGTATATATCCATATATATATATCAAAATTACCGACGTCACGCTTCAATATACACTCTAACCTTGAACTTTCGACTCGACTACAGTAGAATATTTGTTTACCTCGAAACAGAATTCTACGAGTAACGTTTACAGCAATTTCTTGACCATTTCGGACATCTTTTATTTAATAAAAAAACTAAACTAGGACATTTTCTGGGTCGTAAGATCCATCTCCATTCGTAATCTGGGTTAAAATTATGCGTGTGAAGGAAGAAAAAATATATCGTTTTGTTGCCAGAGGGCATTAATTAGAAGACTCGTGTGTCTCTTCTAATATACCTTTGCATTGGTGATTGCGATTGAGATTGAGATCGTTGTTAAGGAAGCGTATTAGAACCTACTTATTTTTTGCGTGCCATACATTATTATTAATTAATTTAAAAGAAAAACAATCTGCATCGATTGGCTCACGACTCAAACCATTAGAATACAAGGCAATCACATATAGGCTATCGTTAATCGTATCCATTTTTAATTTGACATTGTAATTATAAGAAAGAAAAAAAAACAGGAGCAACCCTGACCCAGATAATAACTACGCGGTTTCTTTCATCGATTCCTAATTTATTCTCTCTCAGTTTTGATTTGTTATTATAAGACTTTAGGCGGAGGGAGAGTCTTAATGTAGAGAGGAGCCATCGAAGCGTACATCAATCGAACGAAATCCACAAAGTTCAGTCACCCGAGGTGTGGCATTCAAGGTGACTCCACATTTAAATTTCTCCAGGGACGAACGAATCGTAGTCTTTTGTCAAGAAACAACTTAAGTAATGACTCTCTCTCTCTGTCAGTTCAGACATTTCTTTCATAATCTTTGCGCCATTCCCGGTTCTTGGGACCAGTTAATTCGCTCAACGCATTTGCAATTGTTAACTGTCGATACACAAAAAATTATACTGTTTATTTTAATTAAGTCCCCCACAAAACAATACATCGAAGCATAAAATTATTCACTCTTATCTTAATAAAATTAAACCTAATACCAGTTGACTCCCCCTATAAGACTGTTGATTATTCTGTTTTATATGAATTCCATGTTGTACGAGTCACTTACATTTTACAAATATGTGAGCCAATCACATCCCGGCACACGTATTTGTAAAATCTAAGTGACTCGTACAACATGGAATTCATATAAAACGGAATAATCAACAGTGTTATAGGGGGGTCGACTTGTAATAGAAGGTATAAGGTGAAAGAAGACAGCCAAAGTTTGATAACAAAGAGACGAATTTTGTCATGTTTTGAAAAATTTGGTCAAGGAGGCTATCAAATAAATGTAATTCATTAGCAAAATCCGACAAACGTTTTCGTGTAGCGAATATTTGAATATTATTGTTGTAGTGTGTACGACCTGTTTCTTACAGCAATTTAAAGATGGCGAATGGACAATTTTCAAGGGTATTTTACCTGGACGGAGAGATAACTTACAACCCGTAGACCGAGTATTTGTAACCGTCACGCGCAGCAGGATGCATCCTTGAACTATCAATTCTGATCCGCCCCTTCTGGACGATAAGAATGTTAACTCGGAACGGAATTTATCGTCTCTCCTTCGTCCAATTGCCAAAGAAAAATAAAGATTTAAATCTCCTTCTCAGATTTAAATACGACTAATAACCGAGTTTAAGTCGTGTCGTCCGTTCTTTGTTAACTTACGCACGGTCACGCTCGCTGACGGAATCGTGACCGTGTCGATCCGTTTGTCGATCGATGTCACGAAAACTTTATATAATATTTTTAGAGTCTAATTCTGAGAATTTGTTTAATTCTCTTTTGTCATCTTAAAATAGTTTAATTAACTCGAGGCGTTGTCACTGGTTCTGTACACATCACGATAGAGACAAGTATTTCTCATGCTCCTCCAACACTAACGTAGAATAATAGATAATTAAATTATTTATAAGTATTCTGATATATTTCCTTCTCGTAACTAATTCATTTAACTTATATCGATGTAATGTACGTAACAATTCGAGCGAAACGTCATACTTAATCGAGGAGAACGATCTCACACGATTTAATTTAATGACTACACTCGACAAAAAGGTATCGCTTATCTTCGAAACAATAGTGTTTTACTACTCTAAGATATATATCTATGGACACTTAAGATACATTTCACGCTCTTTCTTCCTTTAAATTAAATGTAAGTATTGTAAAATAGTCATGTCCTACAGAACGATTTGTCCTTATCCTCTGTCTTAGTCATCTTCAATGTTTTATCCGGGTTTTACTCTCTGAAGAAATGATATTTTGGGCATTTACCGGTTAACACCCTTTACTATACACCCACTAGGGGCGAGTACGTCGCTGGAGATCGGTACAACGCCTATAGAGGATTCCAATATCGGGTCTCGATCATCCGCCATCGACTAAATCTAACGGATTCCGTCTAATTCGATTTATCTGCAACTGTACCCATGTGGGTCACTTCGGTTCCGAGTACCACGGCCATGTAGTTCCGGGCGAATGCTTCGTTTAACTCGATCGTGGTACCGTTTTTCTAATTTTTATTATAAACCGCAACACCAGGCTGTTAATTACTTCAGAGAATTTCGAGTGATGCCAAGAGGAAATATCATTTAAAGTCGAAAATTTAGCTGTAATATGTTATATGTAGCAGGTTTGGTGGAGTGCACTGTATGTGTGCTATAAAACGAATGTGGGGAGATCCTTGGCCTCTTTGACGTCTCCACCAGATTTAGTATGGGGCGTATCGACGGTCTCGAGGCCAAAAAACAACGTTAGAAGAATCTAATAGGAAGTGGTCGAAAGTAAAAGACGACCGTCACTTTTGGAGATGTCTAAACGCCGAAGAAGAATGGACTATTATTAGGAGCGATCGTTCACCTCCTCCGATACACCCTCGGGCAGTTACGGACATTAACGGAAGCTATTAGCAGATATTTCGACACGGACAAATACTCGGTTGGTTTGGCAGAGTAAGGACCCGCCTTTGTGCGACCGGGTACGAAGATTGCGACCAAAATAATGAAAGCAATTAGTGATACTTACCTACGACACACTTCCGTAGCTCGATCCCACGAACGATGCAGATTAAAGAATTTGTAGCAGTCGATGCCGAATTGTACCCAACCTAGAAAGATAACATACGATTTTTACCATTAATCTTTATAGAAAAAATAAAATTCAACCCGATCTGAACTCTCATTAACCGTTATTGGATTGATCCAATTGTGAGTCAATCTCTCCTATAATTGACTAAACAATGACCCTTATTTGTTGGTGCCACGTGCTACAAAAGTATGAAGGAAAATTCCTGAGCTTCAATTAGCGTGTCCCACCTTTACGGGTTCCGAAATTTCTTTAAGGTCTCCCGAATTAACGCGAAAAGACCTCCTAGTTTTGACATGTTAATTCGATATCCTCGTGGGATCCCTCGTTAAAATATAACAAGTTTCCGCATAATTTGACAGAAAATTATGAATTCGGAGGCATTAATTAATTTAAAGTAGATGCCACGCATACCAAAAATCGGCGCTCTGAATTCAATTGAATTATGTGGCCATTTATGATTTTTGGAAAACCAAAGCACGATTATAAAGAATTAATCTTATTTGAATCTCTTGGAATGTAATAGGTATGGGAAGAAGAAAGTGGGTCGAAATAAAAACCCACTTCCGGTTGACTCCCGATCATCGCGGTAATTATGACTTGCGCCAGCTAAACCCCATGGCATCTATGCCTCGGGTTATCGACCTCGAACTTCTTCGGGTCACGGCCAGTTAATCAAGCGAGCGCGTCATAAAATCCACCTGTGGTCATCGACAAAAGAATTATTCGGCCTTCTAACCTCTGAATTGTCACATTTCTGTCCTCCCGTTCGTTACTTAAATGTCTTAACTACACGCAAAAACGTTAATGAATTAATCTAGTGGCTTGGATAATCTAACACTTCGGTAACAAGATCTATAATTTTTATATGGTCCAAATTGGAAATTGCTCAAAAACCAAGTGTTTTTTCAACCAATTTTGCAAAGAATGAATGAGGAAAACTCTAGAAAAGTTAGCTAGATCGACCGGATAGCCTCAAGGGAAGATACCATTCCATTCCATTCGAACTTCATTTAGATTTTCCTGATATTTTCGCGGGTAGTTCAAAGTGGAATGTCGTTTCCCCATTTTTCATTTCGATCGATCGTGCTACGAATCTTACTTGCTTACAATATATATAAAGATAAGACCAGCTAGTTCTGTGGCACTCGTATGCTGGTTCAAAACATTAGCAAAGTTGCGGCCGAAGTTTTCATCTGTAAAACGTGAACGTCGAACGTCGAGCGCCGCTATCTTGTAAGCAGTCTCGACGTTCGACGTTCACGTTTAAGACATAAAAACTTCGGCCGAACACGAATGTATGAAGCTAAATTTGTATTAGGTTCCTATGTATAATACCATAGTATTCAAGTTAGCCTATTTACACTACAAACATAAAACGACAAAGTTTTTTATGACTATAAAAATATTCTTAGACAAATATTTCGTCACGTTAACGACGACAAAAAATAGAAAACAATTGAAGAATCAGACGTCGAGCAAAAACTGGTCGTGCTATAAAAGAAATAAAAATATAAATAAAAAAAACTAAATAAAATAAACGTGTCTTTAAGAGGTACGATCTAGTAATTACCAGGTCCTAATTTCGATACAATAATCGTAACAAATAATAAATCAAATTAAATGTGGTATCCGGAAGGACAACAAAAAATACAATAGGCCTAATTACATATTTATTCTACGTAAGAATACTTCGTCCATTACCGAGGGAGGTAACTACTGAACGATATAATAAAAATACATATTATCGATTATTTGGAAAACAATTCAAAAACACTTGGCAATTTTTCTGATAGAAAACCTTCTATTGTTAAATTTCTTAAACAAAAAATAAAAACTGGATTTTTGTTCGATGATTCACGACAGAATCGAGTGACTTCCCACGAACAGACAGACAAACAGACATAGAGTTAACCTAAATTTTTCATATTATAAGAAATTTCGCTATAGTTAAATACAGTATTTCTTCACATAAAACATAATACTGTATAATATAAGTTTTGTTTATTTTGTACTTGTTCAGTTCCTCCTTAGTCTACTGTATTGTGTTACTATATAGGGCCTACATATTATGTACAGTAGACCACCCTATAACACTGTTGATAATTGCGTTTTATACGAATTCCACGTTGTACGAGTCATTTAGATTTTACAAATACGTGTGCCGGGCTGTGAACGGCTCGCGTATTTGTAAAATCTAAGTGACTCGTACAACACGGAATTCATATAAAACGCAATTATCAATCGTATTATAGGGGGGTCTACTATACTGTATATACATAACATTATAAACTTTTTATGCTAAACTATGCTCAGAATTAGGTTTTTTTTTTTTTCTTTCATATGTAATTTTAGGAAAAGAGAAGGAAAATTATTCGTTAATAATTTTAGAAGCGGAAGTTTTAAATATGTTTTTATTCAAACGAGTTACGACATATTCACACACATTACGAAGAGGAAAAAATTGTGTGGTGGACCACATCATATCATTTACAGCAATATTTTTATTGTTTTTTTTTCACTTAAAATAAAACTAAACGTCTTTAACGGTTTATAAAAGTTAAGTGACCAGAAAATGATTGTTTTTATTCACTTAAACCAAGGACAATATCGAAACATTGCTCTCGTTTTCCAGTCGTTTATGTAAAAAAAAAGGTATTTTCTATCCTATTTTAACTACTATAAGGTTGAATATTACACAATTATTTTGTCATTGATAAACTGTAGTTTACTATTAAAACTTATGCAATTCTCGTATGCACTAAATCGAATTTGTCTGTAAACCGAACAATATAGTAATGAATTCCATACAAGAATTTAATNTTCAGTACTGGAAGCTTTAATACTGTGATCGGGAATCGAACCGGTACTCAAACCTAAATCTCTAACAGGACGGCAATCTAAACGGATATGGAAAAGATTTAATAGAGAGGTTGCCTCCGACGTTTTCATCGCGTAAACGTGTACGTCGGACGTTCAGCGCGGTATTCCTGTAAGCCTAGAAGTTTGACAATGGCGTTTGGAACGTCGAGCGTGATTCCAAACGCCATTGTCAAACTTCTAGGCTTACAGTAAGGCGGCGCTGAACGTCCGACGTACACGTTTACGCGACGAAAACGTCGGCGGCAACCTCTCTATTAGTACAATGAAATAATTAACACACCTAAATTTGGTTCGAAGCCATCTTTGCATTTGCAGAAATATGCTCCGGATGTGTTATTACAGTAAGTAGAAGCGCTATCACATGCGCTACTTTCCGAACATTCGTCGATATCTGAAACACAATTAATTAATTAAGTTTCTTTATATAAATAAAGTATTAATACGTAGGGAAAAAAAAAATTTAAACTCAACATAACTCTATGTTTCCTCTTGTATAACAAAGAGAAAAAAATAAAAGAAAGATGCGATAGGAAACGGGTGACAAATCTCGTAACTGTTTAAATTAACAGTTTGACAAATTTGGGTGGAGACAACAATCACGAATGAGTGAACACTTCGTCTAGGAAGACAGTAGTATATAATTATATTCTATTTTCGGTATTAACCATACAAAATTGATAAACGTATCTCGTTTATATATATATAATTTTCCTTTATCGTATATCTACACGCTTTATAAATTATGTAATTGATTTTTCGTCCTATATATTTTTATCATTATCATTGCTTTACTTGTTACGACGATGATACAGATAAGAAGAGAAAAAATAAGACAATAAAATGAATTTCATATATAATTATGCCATAAAATTTAACATTTTATTTAGCATAAGAAAATATTATCTAAAAAAAATAAATAGGATAATTAATGAATATATTAAACACGTACAATCCACAAAATACCTGCAGGTATTTTATTTATAGAATCCTTCTTTGGGATCGTATACGCATTGCCGAAAATTAGCAGTAGCTGTCATTCTTAAAGGTCTACCCATTTCGTTACAGGTAAGAGATATATTGTGCTGAAAGGGAATATAATTTTCGTCNGTGTTATAGGGGGTGGTCGACTGTATTAATAATTAGGAGGTTCAAGAATTGTGTATTCAAGTGCATTTTTTCAAATAGTAATTCTAATTTTAGACATAAGTTTTAATAAAAATCGTATACAACAATAGAAATGTTTAATAAAACACGTAAAAGTACCGAATAATAATAATAATAAATTTTAAATCGGTGCCATGCAATATCAAGTAACGATAGAAGTAGCGGTTTTTTGGGCCGAATACCAATAAAATTGGACGTTCTACTTATACTCCGCTGCAGGGTGTAAAAAAAAAATAAGCAAATAACGAAGACGACTAACTACTCCAACCTAGAAAATCCACTTCATAGGGGAGGGAAAATAAGGTGTTGCTCTTGTTTGTCTAGGTGAGGTTACTATCACTTAATCAATTGATAAACGAATATTTATACGGGGCGTTAACAGGGTGTGATAAAAATCATTTGTCTCAAGCGAACAGATGCTAAATGACGAATTTATAGTCAAAATTTCGTTAGAAACTCTCGCTATTTTCATATAATAATCACTTGAAAGAGATAGTCTTTTTTCTCTTATTAATAAAAGATATGTTGTACCAGTTAATATTTAATATTACACTACTTAATCTATATACTAAGAAAGAAAATGTAAACGACCCTCCGGATGACTACGAAGTTCCTTTGTGAGATTCACATCCAGAAAAGGTTACTCCTTTCTGCTAGTAATTGTATAGATCTCACATGCTATTTTCCTTATAAAGCGAAAAAAAAGTGAAATTCATTTATCTCAGAATGGGTAAGACACTTAAATTTGATCCAGAAATCCTTTAAAAGGTCGACAACCGATCTGTAGATAGAAGCTAATCGAGCACAGATTAACTTTCTAATTTCCCCCCTTTTTTTAAAGAGATCTTCATTATTAGAACGGTACAAGAACGAGTTGAACGAACGAAGCGAGTTACTCGTTCTCGCAATCTCTTTCCATATAATCGCAGAGCGATAGCGAAGAAAACAGTCGTTTCTCGTTAACTACCTACACACTTTTGGATTACGACCTGGATTAGAGAAGACCGGTATATCCGGAAAAGAAAGTGGGTCGTGTCTCTCTCTCTAAAATTCGCAATTCTGAAGAACCAACCACAAAATTTCCAACGATAATCTTGTATTTTTATAAGAAAAGTTTTCTATAAAAAAATTTACTCACCTTCGGGACATGGAGTTACTGCCAGATCCTGTAAAAAAAGAAATGGAAATAGCATCAGTTACGTGAAATGAAAAAGCAGAGAGGTTGCGGACGAAGTTTTCATCTCTCAAACGTGAACGTCGAACGTCGAGCGCCGTTTACAAGATAACGGCGCTCGACGTTCGACGTTGACGTTTGAGAGACGAAAACTTCGGTCGCAACCTCGCTAGCGATAAAGCGAGATTGCGGTCGAATTTTCTCACAATTCAAACTAATAAACTCATAAATCTTTACATTTTTAGATAAAAAATCGAGGAAAATAAGGAAAAAAACAGAAAAACAATTGAAAATAACAATGAATAACAAACTACTACATTACGGTTTCCTTGTTTTCACGCTTGTACTCGCACCCATAATTAATTTTCTCGTAAATGATGCATCACCGAGCTGTCTCATCATTATATGGGTGGTATTTGGATAAATGAGAATTTTACATACAGACAGAAGCTGCTTGACTACTAAGATACAAGTCGACCCCCCCTATAACACTGTTAATTTTTCCGTTTTATATGAATTCCATGTTGTACGAGTCACTTGAATTTTACAAATACGTAAGCCGTTCACAGCCCGGCACACGTATCTGTAAAATCTAAGTGACTCGTACAACATGGGAATTCATATAAAACGGAATAATCAACAATGTTATAGGGGGTCGACTGTACTGTAAATAATCCATCACTCGAAAGAGAGAAGGAAATAAGTCTTATAAGATCGAAGGTTACAGTAATCACTATCTTTATTACTTCCGTGTGTTCGAAGTAGTATAGTTTACGTATTAAATAAGGTCTTACCAGATTGGTTGTCGGCTTATTTTATTAATAACTTATTCGGCATGAAAAGTCGGATTATTTCTTTGAAATTAGACTGACAACTGTTTCCAGTTCTTCCGACAATCAAAGACCTGAGGCATCGGCCATGATTTGAAATGTGCAGAATGCCAACGGCTAGTATTATTAATGGAAATAGAACAGGATTAAAATGTATCGGAAGGTCGGTTTTTCCTTCCTCTAACTCAATTTAGGACGTTTATTTATTTATTTTTTTTTTGTGGGAAGATTTCTTGACTTCGAAGAACCGTTGACTCATAAGCAGATTTCAAAGGGTTAAAAATAAAATGACAGAAAGCAGCTTTCGTTTAGAAGTAAAATTAGGCTTTTTCCTCCACCCCTAAACTACTGAAGGTTAATTTGGGTTCTAAGGGAGGTCGAGTTTTATATCTTCCAAGTGTAGTTGTGGGTCGCACCCGAATAAAATCGAGTTATTCTACGTCGTTGGGAAGGGAAACACTACTCATTGTCGGAGATTTCGAGTCCGGTTCTACTATCGCAACAGGTTTTGAAGGGGGTGGGAATGCATTCCTAACGTAGTTACAGAAATTACCGACAAGAAATTGCAACAGTAAACGGGCCACTATGTAATTCGAATTATACAACATAAGAAATCGCGTAACACAGGAGAAATTCAGATAACAATTAGGTTCTTTTTGAAGGATCTATCAATCCTTCGAAGGAAAATTTGACCTATTAACTCCTAATCTTACTTCTTAAACAGATTATTAATCTTATAATAGAATGAGAATTTTAAACCACGAGTACGTTCGTAAATTTATAAACTAAAATTGAAAAGAAAGGGGGGAAAAAGCATTACGTTATTGCACACAACTGATTTCCGGTCTTTGATAGTTTGAATTTATAAGAAGTCGTCGTTAAACAATACAATAAATTCACTATTATATTCGATAGAAAATAACTATCACTTCCGAGAATATAGGAATGAGAAAAACCGAAATCTTCAACTGTAGAGGGATAAAGATTAACATACTTAAACACTAGATTTATTTGTATATTTAATAAATATATAATTCGTCACTCTACACATACAATACCGTTAAGTCCGAGTAAACTGTTGTGCTGAACTGAAACGAATGCACTTCCTCGTGATGAACAATTGTGGGCCTACCAGAAATAAGCATTTTGAACTTTCTTTTTGAGGAAGTTTCGTGTTTTCTGTTTCGTTTTATATTTAAACGTCGTATAGGCTTACGTTTTCCGATATTTCGCTAGCATAAAAACGTTTACGGGATTAAAGTATCGCGTAGGAGATGAGGTTTATGTCCGATAAGATGACAAAAAAAAATTCGTTCGATTGAAAGATTAAACAAAACGAATATTCAATCTGAAATTTACTTATAGTCTGGTTTTACCCTAAGGAGATTTGTGGGTGTTGGTCCTATTTACAACCTAGAAACAGCGGTGGAAATCAAAGGTGAAGGTAACCCAGATTACTGGTGTTAAAGTGGTCGAAGGATATAATTTTAGTAGAAATTCCATCGTTTTGTCTTTGTTGCCATCAATCATTTGAGAACTTCCACTAAATTACTAGAGATATCGTAACGACTATTCTGTTTTCTCCCCTGAATGGCTTGTTCTCTATAGGAATAGGGTGGAAGCAAAGATTGTTTTGGTAGCGTAAATATCGTAACTCAAGAAGTCGATAGAGATAAAAAAAATTAAATAAATAAATAACAATGCCGAAACGACTTCTTACGGACGTCTGATTAAGAAACTTAACAGTCATGGCGAATAGGAAAATCCGTGTTGTTGTTGAACGGGGACAAACCGACATTTATAATATAGGTCTTATATAGACGGAAGTCAGAAAAAGAGAGCTCACCTCGGTCAGACACAGGCCCGAAAGGATGATTGCCGTAGCGATGAGATGGGCCAACGTCTCCCGACTCATGATGGGCGCGCACATTAGTCCGATCTTCCGGTCCGCATGGGTAATCCAATGTAATAAAGGGTAAGAATGGCGTACGCCCGCTCGCGGCGGACTCGTTCCGAAGAATGAAGTCTTGGCCGCATTCGTCTGAGCGACGCGTTAAGTCGCTCGACCGGTTTTTGTCTCCACCCTCTTTCCCCCACCGTCCAGCCCGTCATTGGACCGATTTCCGATGTCGTCATTTACCTTCGTTTTATCTCCGTTCGAGCGCGAAATTCGAATTTTAACACAAATTTTAACACATCAATTATCAAAAAAAATGAGGCAAAAAAAAAAAAAAAGAAAAAAGCTACCTTAATTCTTTTACTACTATTTCGGATTAGAAAACTTTCCTTTCATTTTGTCTTAATTTCTCTTTACGGATGGACCCATTTACGCTTCATCCTCCGATCTTTATCTTTTAATCGCTTTTAAAATTTTAATGGGCTTAATGCCGCGGTAGGAAGAGCGTGACAGACGTCCTCCTCGGTACGTCGACCATTTCGTTCTCTGTTTACCTACTTTCTATTTGAATGAAAGATATAACAGATAAAATTTTAAATCCAGAAAAAAAACTCTCGGATAGAATTACAAGACAAATTGACGTCCACAAACACTAAACTTAATGATTTAATTCCCATATTTAAAATTGAAAAGACGAATGATTTGTCGCGAATGTGACCCTTTTTTAAATGCTTGGATGAAGTGTTTTCCCTGATCTTACTGACCCTACCCGACCATAAAAGATCTAATAATTCAATTCTTCTTAAACTTTTCCCCTTAATTTAATGGCACGACCACCATTGTTCTTCGGAAATGTGCATTTTGTTCTTGTTTTTATAAAACGTTTTTATTGTATTGATATATAATGGTTAGTAAGCAATTTTAAAAAAACTGTTTGTAAAATTTTAAATGTCACTGCCTTAAATTTTGTAATAAAATCAGCTTATTGTTTGTTTTTGGATACGAAAAAAAAAAAAACGAAAGTTGTATTGTACTTATTTTATTTCCAATTGTATTATTAATAATAGAGAGGTTGCGGCCGAAGTTTTCGTCTCTCGAACGTCAACGTCGAACGTCGAGCGCCTCTATCTTGTAACCAGCGCTCGACGTTTGACGTTGACGTTTTAGAGAAGAAAACTTCGGCCCCAACCACTCTATTAANCTTAAACAAAAAATAAAAACTGGATTTTTGTTCGATGATTCACGACAGAATCGAGTGACTTCCCACGAACAGACAGACAAACAGACATAGAGTTAACCTAAATTTTTCATATTATAAGAAATTTCGCTATAGTTAAATACAGTATTTCTTCACATAAAACATAATACTGTATAATATAAGTTTTGTTTATTTTGTACTTGTTCAGTTCCTCCTTAGTCTACTGTATTGTGTTACTATATAGGGCCTACATATTATGTACAGTAGACCACCCTATAACACTGTTGATAATTGCGTTTTATATGAATTCCACGTTGTACGAGTCACTTAGATTTTACAAATACGTGTGCCGGGCTGTGAACGGCTCGCGTATTTGTAAAATCTAAGTGACTCGTACAACACGGAATTCATATAAAACGCAATTATCAATCGTATTATAGGGGGGTCTACTGTACTGTATATACATAACATTATAAACTTTTTATGCTAAACTATGCTCAGAATTAGGTTTTTTTTTTTTTCTTTCATATGTAATTTTAGGAAAAGAGAAGGAAAATTATTCGTTAATAATTTTAGAAGCGGAAGTTTTAAATATGTTTTTATTCAAACGAGTTACGACATATTCACACACATTACGAAGAGGAAAAAATTGTGTGGTGGACCACATCATATCATTTACAGCAATATTTTTATTGTTTTTTTTTCACTTAAAATAAAACTAAACGTCTTTAACGGTTTATAAAAGTTAAGTGACCAGAAAATGATTGTTTTTATTCACTTAAACCAAGGACAATATCGAAACATTGCTCTCGTTTTCCAGTCGTTTATCTATAAAAAAAGAAAGGTATTTTCTATCCTATTTTAACTACTATAAGGTTGAATATTACACAATTATTTTGTCATTGATAAACTGTAGTTTACTATTAAAACTTATGCAATTCTCGTATGCACTAAATCGAATTTGTCTGTAAACCGAACAATATAGTAATGAATTCCATACAAGAATTTAATTTTAATAATATAATCTAACGGAAAATAAAATATGTATGCGTATAATTCTGATTTTTAAACTATATTTCTACGATTCAGCATCAAATAATAGAAAATTTCAAACTATTATATAAGTCGAAACTTCCTGGCTATTTATTCAAACAAAAATAATAAAAAAAAAGGATTATAATACACAAGTATTTGAAGAATAATTAAAGGATGCCCAAAATACAAGTATGATTCATAATACCACGTATTGTAATATTAATGAATCGTGTCTACTTGTTTACGTGAACAAACTCCAAGAGCAAGTACAGAAGTGCTACTAACTCGTAAAAAATTTCAATTAATTAATGGCTTTATCGGTTCATACCGACTTTCTTTCATTTATTTTTCAAGAAAAGGGAAAGAGAAAATATACTGTACAGTACGTATAAGAGCAACAACACTTGAGTAAAAATAGAGCAGTAAAAGAAAGGACTCGAGGATTGTCGTATCCTAAGGATTTAGTAAAGCGTAAAGCTTTGTTTCTACGATAGTTATATAAATCACATTTAAAAGTTTTAATATTTATTAGAAGAAAACATTAGAGAAATTGCTGCCGAAGTTTTCATCTCTCAAACGTGAACGTCGAACGTCGAGCGCCGCGCTCGACGTTCGACGTTCACGTTTGAGAGATGAAAACTTCAGCCGCAACTTCTCTAATAATTATTTCGAGATGTATGCAAAATACTACAAAATGAAGGAGAAATAATATTTTTTTTTAGCGTGATCGGATTTATAAAGGAAGCTAACTAACCAAAATGCATGAAAGCATAAGAAAAGAATCGATGAGGCAGAAAGGAATTTACTGGGTTTTTTTTTCTCGCTTATGTTTGCACCTTCCTCCAGACGGATGTGAAATTAGGCCATAAAAGAAATTACTATTATACGTAAATATTTTCCAATTACGAATAAATAAAACCTTTTAATATATAAAATTATATAAACGAGTATAAATACATAGGATACGAGTTTATACTCGAACGTTCTCACATAGAACTTCACCTATACTTTCTTCAGTCGTAAAGAAATGAAAACTTGCTAGATTTAAAACTGTTAAACTATTCAACATCTTCACTTATTTAATTTTAAGTTATTATTATAATTTATTGAATTTTTTTTTATCGTATGCTTCAATGAGTTCCGGATTTTACTGGAAGAATAGAATATAAAGACTGTATATAGTTGTGAAGAGAATGAAGTCCGTAGTTGTTGTATAAGCTGTATTCTTGATTAATTATATCTAACGTAATTAAAATAATTCCTTTTATATAGAATAAACCTACTTTTATACTTTTTTTTTCTAGTATATAATATAAAATCGTAGATGTATTACGTCAACCCCCCTATAACACTGTTGATTTTTCCGTTTTATATGAATTCCATGTTGTACGAGTCACTTAGATTTTACAAATACGTGAGCCGTTCACAGCCCGGCACACGTATTTGTAAAATCTAAGTGACTCGTACAACATGGAATTCATATAAAACGGAATAATCAACAGTGTTATAGGGGGGTCGACTTGTAATAGAAGGTATAAGGTGAAAGAAGACAGCCAAAGTTTGATAACAAAGAGACGAATTTTGTCATGTTTTGAAAAATTTGGTCAAGGAGGCTATCAAATAAATGTAATTCATTAGCAAAATCCGACAAACGTTTTCGTGTAGCGAATATTTGAATATTATTGTTGTAGTGTGTACGACCTGTTTCTTACAGCAATTTAAAGATGGCGAATGGACAATTTTCAAGGGTATTTTACCTGGACGGAGAGATAACTTACAACCCGTAGACCGAGTATTTGTAACCGTCACGCGCAGCAGGATGCATCCTTGAACTATCAATTCTGATCCGCCCCTTCTGGACGATAAGAATGTTAACTCGGAACGGAATTTATCGTCTCTCCTTCGTCCAATTGCCAAAGAAAAATAAAGATTTAAATCTCCTTCTCAGATTTAAATACGACTAATAACCGAGTTTAAGTCGTGTCGTCCGTTCTTTGTTAACTTACGCACGGTCACGCTCGCTGACGGAATCGTGACCGTGTCGATCCGTTTGTCGATCGATGTCACGAAAACTTTATATAATATTTTTAGAGTCTAATTCTGAGAATTTGTTTAATTCTCTTTTGTCATCTTAAAATAGTTTAATTAACTCGAGGCGTTGTCACTGGTTCTGTACACATCACGATAGAGACAAGTATTTCTCATGCTCCTCCAACACTAACGTAGAATAATAGATAATTAAATTATTTATAAGTATTCTGATATATTTCCTTCTCGTAACTAATTCATTTAACTTATATCGATGTAATGTACGTAACAATTCGAGCGAAACGTCATACTTAATCGAGGAGAACGATCTCACACGATTTAATTTAATGACTACACTCGACAAAAAGGTATCGCTTATCTTCGAAACAATAGTGTTTTACTACTCTAAGATATATATCTATGGACACTTAAGATACATTTCACGCTCTTTCTTCCTTTAAATTAAATGTAAGTATTGTAAAATAGTCATGTCCTACAGAACGATTTGTCCTTATCCTCTGTCTTAGTCATCTTCAATGTTTTATCCGGGTTTTACTCTCTGAAGAAATGATATTTTGGGCATTTACCGGTTAACACCCTTTACTATACACCCACTAGGGGCGAGTACGTCGCTGGAGATCGGTACAACGCCTATAGAGGATTCCAATATCGGGTCTCGATCATCCGCCATCGACTAAATCTAACGGATTCCGTCTAATTCGATTTATCTGCAACTGTACCCATGTGGGTCACTTCGGTTCCGAGTACCACGGCCATGTAGTTCCGGGCGAATGCTTCGTTTAACTCGATCGTGGTACCGTTTTTCTAATTTTTATTATAAACCGCAACACCAGGCTGTTAATTACTTCAGAGAATTT